CTGACTCATCGTTTTTACAGATGAGACCCACCATAGTCACGTCATCAGCAAACTCGATGTGATTTGAACAGTGCATTGCTGCACAGTCGTGAGTCAGGAGAGTGAACAGCAGTGGACTGAGCACACAGTCCTGGGGAGCTCCAGTGCTTAGTGTGTTGGTACAGGAAGAGCTGCTCCCGATCCGGACTGACTGAGGTCTCTCTGTAAGGAAGGCCAGGATCCAATTGCAAAGAGAGGTGTTCAGACCCAGCAGGCTCAGTTTCCCAATCAGCTGCTGTGGAATGATTGCGTTACATGCTGAACTGAAGTCTATTAACAGCATTCGAACGTAAGTGACTTTATTGTCCAGGGGTGCGTTTCCCAAAACCATAGCTGCTAACTTGCAACTTGCGTGGTTCGAACTATGCAAGTATGACGCAGGTGTTTCCCAAAACCATAGTTCGAACGAACGTTCGCAAACACTGTCATTAAGTTGTCTAGTTCGAACTACAGTTCTTGAGCTGTAGTTAGAAGCTTAGTTCCCGGTACAGTAAATACATCAGCAATGGTGGAAAATGCAGTCTAATAAGGATATAGTGTAAGTTAGAAATGTAATAATTAGGGCTGTCGAAATTAACTTGTTAACGCGGATTAATCCATCATCATGATTAATCTGATAAAAAAAATTTACGCAATTAACCCATCTGCAGCACAGAATGACTCAAAATGTCTCTGTCAACCCATTTCGGGCAGTTTTAGTGCATTCTGTTTGCCCTGGGAACTCGTATTCCGAGTTGTGTTCCGAAGTTTTGAAGCCGGAAGTGACAACATAAGCGTTCCCGTTTCTCGGAGATCCGAGAAATATCTCAGAGCAGCACATGGCCCGCAACATATTGGACCCACGCCTGACAGCTGCCTTTCACCGCGATCACCTGCACAAACCTGCTCCTCGTCTGCGCGGCTGTCCTCGGTGCCTTCCTCATCCCCCTGGAGGTGGCTGTCGGGGGGGAGGGGTCCTGTCACATTGGGGCCTGGGACCACGCCCCCCACGCCGCACAGCGGAAGCAACACTGAAAGGGACCACTCTTCACAACTATAAAAGGCCGGTCCTGACCAGCACTCCTTGCGAAGTACAGTGGTACCTCGGTTCTCGAACTTAATCCGTTCCGGACTCCGGATCGAATCCTAAAAAGTTCGAGTTATGATCAAATTTTTCTCATAAGAAATAATGGAAAACCAATTAATTGTTTCGCGGCCCCCCAAAATTACACCTAAATATGTTGTTTTTTTTGTTTTTTTTTTTGCATTTAAACACAAAATGAACAGGATAAAACAAGAAGAGCATTTTTTTCTTAATGGCTTTGGCTTAATGGCATTACCCCTGTCCTGCCCCGATCGTCCGCTTCTTCCGTGTG